AACCACCAGCTTGAGAACCTCCTAAGTTATGGTCTCTGGGATGAAATGATTTTCTCAACCGAAGAAAGTCCTAGTTAGACCTGAGTCTTTCTCCCCTCGCCATCCAGAGTAGTACAACCAGAACTTAAAGTACAGGCCAAAGATGGGACTCCAGTCATTTCAGGGCTCACCACTGTCTCTGATTTGTGTCTAATTTGTATTCTGTCCACGTTCTAAACTCTCTGCTCTTCCTTAGTCTTTCTTTCTACAATTGTTTATTCAACACTTACCATGGGCCCGACGTTTGAGCTGGTCACTGATTATATAAAACTATATTAAACATTATCATTTCCTTTAAAAAAGTATATTTTCTCTTCCCAACATAAGTTTAGGATACCCTACTTGTCTAACTAGCTCCCCCAGTATCTTGCCCTGTTATCTTGTGGAAATCCTTTCCCCTCCAATCCTTCTTGTATTTCTCAAAATTTAGATGGCAGGCTTAGATTGGGTGTATTTAAGACCTTTTACCCCCTTGAATATGATACTCCGTATTACCCCTATACTCACATTTTCTCCTCTACTCCAAAGATCAATAGAATGAAGGAATGAATGGTCAATTTTATTTTTACTTAAGCTATCATTTATTAAATGTATTCCAGAAAGTAGGTCATATATATACAGGTTATTTTATTATATATACATATATATGTATATGCCTAGCTTTATACAAGATATTATTATTATTCTATTTTAAGAGAATAAAGTTTAGAATGTTGAATTACTTGTCCAAGATCACATAGCCAGTAAGTGAATGAGCTAATACTTAAACTCAGGAAGTCTAAGTCCAGAGTCTGTGGCATTATTTACTACAGAATACTACATTTCCATGAAAAAAAATATGATGAATACAATCATTGCAGTTACCTTTCTTCTCACTGAATTATACCAACAGATGCAGATCTTCAATAGCCAAGGAGATTTTATGTTTTTATGGTCTTGTATAACAAAACCACTTCACCTTTCAATAGGTATGAAATCCAAAATAAGAGAGCAGATAATATACAGGGCCAGACATCCCTCTTACCTGTTTTCTGTCCTTCATATTTCAGTGTTGCTAACTATGACATATGATATGTGAGTCTTTCCTTCTCCTCTTTTACTGTTTCACAAATGTTGGAGTTTGGTCGGACAGCCAAATCTCCCATTCTCTCTCCTCCTAAGCTAAGTCCTAACAAGTAGAGAAAAAGATATTAGAAGCTGAACGGGAAACCAAGTACACTATTATAGAGACACTGATAACTCTTTCTTTCTATGGGTTCATAGTAGAACTGGATTGGAGAACTAAAGTGTTACCTGAGGCCAAAAAAAAAGCAGGCCTTACAATCTTACCCCAAACCCAGACATGAAAACCTTAGAATTGATTCTTCAAAGAAGACTAAGTACGTTTATCTCACTGGAGGTACAGATGTGGAGGTAGAAGATCGTGCTCTCACTTAGAAACCCAGTCTTGTTGATAATGCAGAGTTCCAGAGAATTCAGGAGAAACTGAAATAGGACTATATTGTCTTTTCAGTGCAGTGAGTTCATTGTGACTGAATGGATGCCAGGCTCTCACCTGATGTTTCTACCTGATGTGATGTTTTCACAGCCCTGTTTCCCCTCCTTCCTTGGAAAGAATCAAATAAGAAGTAGAAATCTACAGCTTGAAAGTGGAATGAGAGGAGAGATCTTCCTTTGATATGTTTTGTTGCCATTAGTTTTTTAGTTTTTTTAAACTCAGTTCAAATATCAAGAAATACCATATGCTTGACCATAAAAATAGTCTCAATAAATTTTAAGGAATTGAAATGTAGAGAATATTCTCCTTCACAGAAAAAATAAATTAGAAAAAATAAGCAATAAGATAATTAATATTATTTATTAAGATTAGTAATAATAATAAGATATCTTAAGAAATGAAAAATATTTGGAAATTAAACAACTTATAAATAAACCGTGGGTCAAAAAAAATCACAAGAGAAACTAAATATTTTTGAATGAATGAAAGTGAAAACACAGTATCAAAAGTTTTAGAGCAATGGATGTCTCATGCATTATTGGCTAGAGTGTGTACAATCACTTTTTAGAACTATTTGGCATTTTATTATAAAGTTAAATGCATATAACTTAACACAATAATTTTATTCCTAGATATTTAGCCAGTATAAATTAAAATATATCCTCTCAAGAAGTTGTATACAAGAATATTTATAGCACCCTTATCTCTGATAGCTATAAATTGTAAACGATCCAAATGACCATTAGCAAGACAATGGATTTTAAAAGTATGTGCTATAAAAGAAGGATTCTCAGATAGCAAAGTAGGAAGCAACAGGAATAAGTCTTCCTGTGTAGACAGTGGTTGCACTAGCAAGATCTGTCTGATAGAACTATTTTGGAACTCTGGAGTCCATTGAAGGCTTGCAGATTCAGTTGGGGAGGCTTGGACTAGTGAATTGTGATTAATTTCAGTCAATTTCAGGTCTTGGCTCAGCAGCATTCACCTGTTTCCCACCTTCCAGCCCCATGGCAGGCAGCTGTGCACAAGTTCCAGGAGCATGCTGCTTGCATGCATGCAGCTTAGGGGAGCCAGGGTGGGCAATAAGGGCCACATCCTTAAAAAATCTGAGATATGTGTACTGATTGCTGCTTCTGATAACAGATGTTCAGGCACAGAGATAGGCAGCCATTGTTGCATCCCCTTCCTCCATTGTTGCAAGTCCCTCCCATCCAGCTGAATAACAAAGTTGGATAACTTGCACTTCCTAATTCAAAACTTACTACAAAACTACAGTAATCCAAACAGGTAGTGCCAACATAAAGACAGACATATAGACCAATGGAATAGAATAGAAAGCTCAGAAATAAACCCTGACAGATGTGGTCAAATAAGTTTTTTTGATGTGGGAGGTAATTTTATTTACTTTATTTACTTTATTTATTTATTTTACTTATGTTTTAATAGAAGTACTGGGGATTGAACCCAGGACATTGTGCATGCTAAGCATGCACTCTACCACTAAGCTAAACCCTCCCCACCAAATGATGTTTGACAAGGATGCCAAGACCATTCAATGGGAGATGACAGTCTTTTCAACAAATGGTGCTAGTAAAACTGAATATCTAGGAGCAAAAGAATAAAGTTTGACTATTACCTGATACCATATACAAAATTAAAATGTAAGAACTAAAAGTGTAAAACTCTTAAAAGAAAACATAGGACAAAAAATTAAATGGGTTTGGCAGTGGTTTATTGGATATAACACAAAGACACAGGCAACAAAGAAAAAGTAGACAAGTTGAACCTCATGAAAATTTAAAAATATTGTGCATCAGTGAGCACTATGAACGAAGTGAAAAGGCAACCTATGAAATGGGAGAAAGCATTTATTTGCAAATTATACATCTGTTAAGGGATCAATATGCAGAATATATAGAGAACTCCTAAATCTCAACAAAAACAAAAAAGCCCAATTCAAAAATAGGCAAAGCACTCAAACAGACATTTCTCCAAAGAAGATACACGCGTGTCCATTAAGCACATGAAAACATGCTCAGTGTCGCTAGTCATTAGGGCAGTGCAGTGCAAATCAAAACCACAACGAGATAACCACTTCACCCACTAGGATGGCTACCATCAAAAAAACCAAATTAGGACAACAACCAAAACCCAGTAGCTAAGAAGTGTTGGTGAGGATGTGGACAGATTGGAACCTTCGTGCATTTTTGTGGGAATATAAAATGGAACAGCTGCTGTGGAAAACAGTATGGCAGTTCCTCAAAAAAATCAGTAGAATTACATGACCTAGCAACTCCACTTCTAAATATATACCCAAAAGGATTAAAAGGAGAGTCTCGAGGAACAATCTGTATGCCCATTGTTATAAACCAAATGTTTATATCCCCCTACCCCAGATTTATAAGTTGAAACCCTATCCCCTGATGTTGATGGTGTTTGGAGGTGGGGCCCTTGGGATGTAATTAGATTTAGATGAAGTCATGAGAGCAGTACCCTCATGATGGGTTAGTGCCCTTATAAGAAGAGACAAAAGAGCTCTCAGTCTCTCCCTCTCCCTCTCCCACTCCCTCTCCCTCTCCCTCTCCCTCTCTGCGCCTTTCTCTCCTCTCCTGTCTCCTCTCTCAGGCGCTCTCTTCCCCCACTCCCTCTCTCTCCTCCCCATCCCACTGCTTCTTGTTCTTCTCCTTCTCCCTGTTTCCCTCCCTCCCTCCCTCCTCCTTCCCTCCTGCCTCCTCCCTCCCTCCCTTTATGCACATGCACCAAGGAAAGGCCATGTGAGCACACAGCAAGAAGGAGGCTGTCTACAAGCTAGGAAGAGGGTTCTCACCAGGAACCAAACCAGCAGGCACCTTGATCTCAGACTTTCTAGCCTCCAGATTGTGAGAAATAAATCTCTGTTGTTTCAGCCTTCCAATCTGTGGTACTTTGTTAAGCAGCCAAGCAGACTAATACGCACATATTCATAGCAGCATTATTTGCAATAGCTAAAACCTGGAAACAACCCCAGAGTCCCCTGGCAGATGAATGGATAAGCAAAATGTGGTATATACAAACAATGAAGTATTATTCAGCCTTAAAAGAGAAGAAAATTCTGACATATGCCATAACCTGGATGAACCTTGAGGACATTTACTAAGTGGAATAAGCTAGTCACAAAAAGACAAATACAGTGTGATTCAACTCTTATGAGGTACCTAGAATAGTCAGAATCATTGAGACAGAGTGGTTCCCAGGGGATGGGAGAGGAGAATGAGGAATTATTCTACAATAGGTGTAGAGTTTCAGTTTTGCAAAATGAAAAGAGTTCTGGAGATAGATGGTGGTGATGGTTGTACAACAGTATGAATGTACTTAATACCACTGAACTGTATACTTACAAATGGTTAAGATGGTAACTTTTATGTTATGTATGTTTTATCACAGTAAAAAATTAATTGGAAAACAATTGCATGCTGTACCTAAATGAAATACTACTTGACATCTTGCAGGTCTGCTTGCTCCACGGTTCCCTGCCAGCCTGCTCCTTTCCAATTTGGAGGCTATTTACAGTGTGAATTCTTAGGCTTGTATCCATCCAAACTCTTTCTTCAGTACTGTTCCTAGTATTTGGGTGCGGGTATGGGCCTGTACCACTCAGCCTGCTGTACTGAATCTTCTGGATCTGTTCTTGGTCACTACTTTTTGATTTGTAGTTTAACTTTATTATCCTTACTGCTGGCTGCTGCTTCTGATGATGTATTTGGGTAGTTTTAAACAGTTTCTTTCTTGTTTTTGTGGTCATTAACTTTTATCCCTTTTTTATTTATTCTGGGGGGGGGGGATATTCCTGATTTAGCTGCACTCTACCTTCTTAACTTTGAGATTTCCCTTATTTAATTTAAAATGTTCCTATTGTAATAAAACCCTGTTCCTCATGACTGCATCCCTCATGTATCCTAAAGGTGTATTTATTATGAGTGTTTTAAAAAATTAATTGTCTTTGGATAGACACTTTAGTGAAGAAATACTGAAGGTTCAAGCTCTGGTTCGTCAAATATGCAATCTAGGAAAGTCACTTAGCTTCTCTGAATTTGTTTTTTCATAAGCAATTAAAAATGTCTTTTTTCACTTCATGCTTTTTGAGAGAATCAAGTGAGAGATTGTAAATGGAGTTGCTTTGTAGATGCTTTAACACACAGATTACAAGAATTATTATGCTGATGATAATGGTGATAAATTGCTTTTTTTTGAGAAATAATAAGTGAAAAAACTCAAGGGATAACATCAAATTATTCCTGGCTTGTTGACACTTAATGGTGACAGTGTGACCCCATGGATTTCCATGGAGGGGAATCTTAAGTGTTGAGGAACTTCCTCTCATCATAGTGGCAAGAATAAATATAAGAAACAAATGAGAAACCCAAGGTGCCTGCATTTGCAAAAAGCAAAGCCACAGTTCATTTTCAATTACATTATTTTCAGTCATATGCAATTACCAAATGCAGTTAGGCCATTTGTTATGGAGAGAAGAAAAATGCAGCATCAGTTGTATTATTTTTAGTGACAGTGGAGTCACTGAATGCAAAGTACCATGTTACTTTTCTCCTAGTTTTTGTTTCTGTGAATTGATTTTCACAGCTGAAAAGAAACATTGCTCTCTTCCATGCGGGTTATATTTTCCCAAGTTTCTGGGCTTGTACTGGAATGCAGTTCATCCATCTTCCATGACATTCCAACCTGACTGCTTCTCTGATAGCAGTATCTGGGGTACTCTGTAAAATATAGAAGGCGATCTTGGAAAATTCAGACTAGCTTTCTACTGCATTGGTGAAAATTAAAAAAAAAAACAAACTTTGACTAAATACCAACTTTCTGAAATACTGTAGAGGATAAAATTTTCCAGTTACACTCCTGAGACCCAAGCTGTAACTCCTCTACTTAACTAACTTTAGCAGACTCCATTTTCCTCATCTATAAAATGGAAATACAATAGAACCTACCACATAGGGTTATTGTAAGTGTTCAATGTGTTAATATATCTAAATGACAAGAATATGGTACCTGATAAGCGTTCAGCCTATAGTGTTGATTATGAGATAGAAATGATGGTGTTTAAACTTCATTTACCTTTCTGTTAATCAGTTCTACAGACATCTTGTTGAGTGATTTCTGTGTGTCAGGAATGAAGTGAGACTATGAAAAAGTTGAACTGGAAATATTTGTCCTTCTTTCTCGATATTTCAGCTCTAATCCTCAGTATTTTGAGATTCTGTTTCTCTCCTGTTTAATCCCTTCACCAACACTGCGCCCCAACTCTTTATTTCTTTTTATCTTTCCTGGAGTGTTTCCAGAGACTCTGAAATGGTCTTATAACTCTTACCTGACCCCTTCCAATACACCTTCCAACTCTGATGCAAAAGAGAACATTCTAAAACATGTCTCATTCTGTCACTCTCTTACTTACAAGTTCCATTTCTCTGCCTTATCTAGAATAAAGCACAAACTCTTAGCATGGCATCAGTATCTACTTAAGACATAACTGCTGATTCTCCAGTCGTATTTCTGACCACATTTTCTTATATGCATCCTATCCCAGGAGCTTTATTGAAATACTTAAACCTTTAGAATATGTGCTATGTACTCTCATTTCCCAGTGTTTTATGAGGACTAGTCCTCTTGCCTAGAAAATCCTTTCTTGAGCACAGTCCATTTTAAGACTAAATTAGTATTTCTATCCTGCATGCCCTCTGCACTAAGTATGTCTGATTTGAGCATGGGACACTTTGTATTTGGTCTGTTTATTCTTCAGCCTCCCAACCTATATTGCAAATCATTTGATGTTTCTTACTATTACGGTATCATTGTCCATTTTTCATCCTTTATGTCTGTTAATATTTACTTTATCTATTTAGATGCTCCCATATTAGGTGCATATGTGTTAACAAGTGTTTTGTCCTCTTCTTGTACTGCTCCCTTTATCACTATACAATACCTTTCTTTGTCTTATGTTATAGACTTTGTTTTAAAGTCTATTTTGTCTGATATGAATATTCCTACCCCACTTTCTTGTTGTTTCCATTTGCATGAAATATCTTTTTTCATCTACTCACTTTTATTCTGTTTGTTCCTTTAGCTCTGAAGTACATCTCTTGTAAGCAGCATATAGATGGGTCTTGATTTTTTTTTTTATCCAAAAAGGTACTGAATGTCTTTTGATTGGTGCATTTAGTCCCTTCACATTTAAAAAGATTTTTGTTAGATATGTATTTATTGACATTTGTTATGTGGCTTCTGATTTTTTTTTGTAGTTCTTCTGTTGTTTCCTTCTTTTAGTTTCTTCCCTTGTGTTCTGATGATTTTCTTTAGTGATATGTTTGTGTTTCTTTCTCTCTAGTTTTTGTGTATTGTAGGTTGTTGGTTTATGGTTACCATGAGGTTCATTATGTTGACCTACAACAATACCTACTTGTTTTAAACAGATAGTCATTTAAGTTCAAAGCACAGTCTAAAAAATCTACATCTTTTACTCTCCTCCTCCATATTTTGTGTTTTTGATGTCACATTCTACATCTTCATCCCTGCACTGATTATTATAGTTTAAGTTGATTTTTATAATTTTGTGTTTTTCATACTAGCTTATTTAAGTGCTTGATCCTCACTTTTTACTATTTTACTTTTACTAGTGGGATTTTCCCATTCCGCTATATATTTACTTCTTGTTATAGTCTCCTTTTCCACTTGCAGAAGACCCTTTAACATTTAGGGTTTATTTAGTATTGATAAATTCTTTTAGTTTTTGCTTGTCTGAGCTGTTCTTTTTTTAGGGGGGTAATTAGGTTTACTTATTTATTTTCAGAGGGGTACACTGGGGATTGAACCCAGGACCTTGTGTATGCTAAGCATGCACTCTACCACTTGAGTGATACCCTCCCCCCTGAGATGTTCTTTCTCTCTCCTTCATTCCAAATGATAATCTTGCTGGGTAGAGTATCTTGGCTTGCAGGTTTTTTCCCCTTTCAGCACTTTAAATATATCATGCCACTCCCTTCTGTAGATTACAAGATTTCTGCAAGAAAATCAGCAGATAGCTTTATGGGAGTTCCCTTGTATGTGACTTTGTTTTTCTCTTGCTGTCTTTAGAATTCTCTTTAACTTTTGCCATTTTAGTTATGATATGTCTTGGTATGGGTCTGTTTGGGTTTATATTTCTTGGGACCTATGCTTTCTGTACCTGAGTATCTGTTACCTTCTTCAGGTTTGAGTAGTTTTCAGGCATAATTTTATCAAATACATCTTTGAGCCCCTTCTCTCTCTCATCCCCTTCTGTAAACACTGCAATTCAAATGCTGGTATGCTTAATGTTGTCTCAGATGTCTCTTAAATTGTTCTTCATTTTTTAAAATTTGTCTTTATGTTTGCTGTTATGATTAAGTGATTTTCATTATTCCATCTTCCAGATCATTTATACATTCTTCTGTATCACCTAGTCTGCTGTTAATTCCTAGTATATTTTTCCTTTCATTTATTGTATTCCTCAGTTCTGACCTGTTCTTTTTATATTTTTAGTCCCTTGTCACTATTCTCATTGTTTTCATCTATTCATTCAGTTACCATTCTTATTACTAATGCTTTGAACTATTTGATAAATTGTCCATTTCTGCTTTATTATTTTTTTCAGGGGTTTTCTTTTTCTTTCAGTTGAAACAAATGCCTATGTCTTCTCATTTTGCTTAACTTTCTGTGTCTCTATGAAATCAGGTGAAACAGTTACTAACTGCAGTCTTGCAGGGGTGTCCTTATTTGGGAGCATCTCTTTGCAGCCTGCCTGTGCCCAGTGGCTTTGGTGGAAGAGGTGGATTTGATATGAACAAAGACACATCTTTCTTCAGGGTGTGCAGGCAGCTGTTACCTTGGTAGGATGTGGGGCTGGAGATGGAAGGACTAGGGCCAGATCTAGGAATTTCTCTTTGACTCAGAGATCATTACCACATTATCAGGGTTGGGGTCAGGTCCCAAGTTGCTGGAGCAGAAGTGCTAAGGGTGGTGTCCATGCTGGCTTCATTCCCTTTAAATGTGTGCTGTCCCCTATCCCAGCACCAGCATTCTTGCCCTGGAGCAGTGCTGGAGTCAGAAGGGCTGATGCAGGTACTCGGCATGGGTGTGGGCACAGGCTAGGGCTACACTTAGTGACCAGACTACCTCTGGTGCACTGTCTGAGTAAGCACCAATAGCAGTTGCCCCTGTCCTAATTGGATGTCTGGTTCTGAGCTGCCTTTTTTCCCTCCCAGCTGAGCTTTTCCTTCGTTTGTTGCTGCCCTCACTCTGGTGAGCAGTTATGTCGCAGAACAGGCAGGGATGGTCCTGGCACTCCACATAGGGCTGGGCATGGACTATGGTTGTCCGGTCACAGAGATCTGGATGGCTTCTGATGCACTGCCTGTGTAAGCACCAGGAACGGCTGCCCTTGCCCTGCTTAGAGGTTGCTCTGAGCCATCTGTGTGCCTCACAGCCAAGCTTTCTCTCCCCTTGGGCACTGCAGCCCTTGCCCCAGTGTGGAGCTACATCATGAAGCAAGTAGGGTGTGAGCAGTCACTTGACTCAGGCTGGGGCACACGCCAGGGCAGTCACAGGAAATTGGCCAGCATCCTGTGCTGTTTCAGCCCACCCTCTCTGCCCTGTTGCGGAAGTAAGCAAGCATATGTGTGCTCCTAATGAGTGGATTCCAGGCTTCCTAAAGCCCTCATGTTAATCCCACTGGCCCTCCAACTAAACAGGGAGACTCTTCTTGGTCAGAATCCAGGGCTGGGGCACCCGATATGTGGTTCAAACTGCTCACTCCCCAGGGAAGCTCTCTGCCCATGTAATCCCCCTCCTCTTCTGAGTCCCTTCCCAGGGGCACCAGTCCAGACCTGATCATTTCTTCCCGCTTCCTACCCGATTCTCTGTGGATTGTTTGTATAGGAGTCTTTCTGCCAGTCTCCAGTTAGTTTTCAGTGAGAATTGTTCCACATGTAGATGTATTTTGTATGTGTTTGTTGGGGGAGGTTATTTCCATATCTTCCTACTCTGCCATCTTGCTCTCTTCCTCTAAACTTATGTAATGTTACATGTCAATAGATCGCCATAAAGCTGAATATGTGGGAAGAAAAGCTAGCCTAAGCAACTGCAAATCTGGCATTAAAACTAGAAAGTCTCTGACTTGGTACCACAGTATCTGACATTTCTCTTAACCTGCATTTGACTTTGTTTAGAACCTATCTTGTTTTTTTCATCTTCCCTGGCTGGATTGGGTATCAAATTCCTTGGATTGAAATAGGATAATAAACCTATTACTGCTCAAAAAAAACTGCATTTAAGATCATAATTTATACAATTCTGTTGGACAAGTATTACAATGACAAAAATATGAAATACAGATGTGAAGTTTCTATTATTAACAGTAATAGCTATTCTAATATCATGAAAATATTACTAGATGACAGATTTATGTATAGTAGAGAAAAAATATATATAAATATATGTGTATGTATTTAATCATATATATATAATTGAAATTATTTTCTTGGCAGATAAGTAATAAGCTTAAAATAAAAGCATAACTCATTAGGTAATTTTGGTAAGATTCTCTGCCCACTGCCAAATTGTTCATAAATCCTACTGAAATCAATTACTTAATACACTACCTTATATCAACTACACAATTTCTATTCTTTTCCAAATGTTTAATATCTTTTTCTAAATAAAATATTTCAAAAACAGAAAAGTTCAAGTTCTCATCAAGTCAACTGTGGCTCACCACGTATATACCCAATAATTCCCTAAATTTGTGTTTGGGCTCAACATGTTACAAAGTACTTTAACGTTAAATTTCATTTGATACTTTCAAGGGTAGGTACCCTGTGTCATCAACTTGGGAAGTCATAATGGCTAGAATAAACTTATTGGCTGAAATGTTTGTTAAACTGGTTTTCAATAATCTATTTATTCTCCTGTATTAAAGGATATTTTTCCATCAGTTATTCTAAATTTTTCCTAATTGTCTCTGAGCTTTTGTATATGCTATGTACTATCCTGATAAAAGAATATGGATTTAACAAGTAGTTGGTTGATTAATGTCTGTTTCTTTTACTTGTGTATTTTCTCCTTTGACAAAGCCTCTGAATTATAATCTATATATATTAATCTTGCTAAGGCTCATTTCCCTCACTTTTAAAATGAGTAAATAGTATATAACAACAGTATTCATTTTAAGATTTAAAGAGCTAAGTCATATGAAACTCTGAGCACAGTGCTATGTAAAACTGAGCAAAAGAAAAAAAGAAATGATAATTATTTTTCTCTTTCAGCAAATAGATTGATTCCAATCACTTCAACTATTTTGCTGTGTTTGGGGAAAATTATATAAAGTAAAAGAAGTATATATTTACATCTCAAAGTTAATGTGAGTGGATTCTAGGTGACAGTCTAGTGACTTCTCTACTTTTTTAGTAGTACTCAGCTTTTTAACTTTGTCTTCAAAAGGGCTACCTAGTGGTTTGGCAATTCCATTAACAAAAGGCAAAATTAGGTGTGGAGAGATCCAAAGGCCAGTAGGTAGGCTGCAGAGTGGCTCTCAGGAGCAGAGATGAGGTAACACTGTCATGTTTGTGGACATTTTGTTAACCACAATCTTCATGGTTATTTATACAGTGTGTTTACTGAGAGTCATAAGTGATGAAAAATGTGGAATTTGGGCTCAGAGTAACTTGGGTATAAATCCAAGTTTCTCATCACATTATCTGTTTTATGTCAGGCAAGATACTTACTGCTTTTGGTCAGTCTCCTCATCTACAAAATGAAGATAATAACACAGTTGAATTTCACAAAGTTTCATTACATAAAATCACACTAAAATATACATCATCTCTTGCACATAGTGGCTATTCCCCTGATAGAAGTCCCTTTCCTTTCTCAGACTCATCGTCATGATCCCCTCCCTCTCATCCTTCCACATCTATCAAATTGCCTTTAGCACCCAATAATCTGGCTCATAGTATCTCAGCCTTATTACCTGGTCCCAATACCTCTATTGAATATCTGTGTATTATAAAGAGGAAAGTAAACCACATACACACAATGAAACTGGCAAAGATAGGGAGCTTTGTAGTCAGATACATTTGTGTTCAAATCCTGGCACCACTACTACCAGCTGTAGATTTCTAAGAAAATTATTTCACGTGCGTAAATCTCAGTTTCATTATTTTTAAAGTGATTTATGTGAACCTACTTTGTGTTGGTAAAATTGGGTATAGTGCATGTAAAGAAGCTGGAATAAAGCAGAGATAGCAGCCATCTTGACCTTCTTATTTGGTCTGTTTCCCCTATGATAGGCAGATTTATATATGTAGGTATTAAAATAGTACATGCTTCAGTGGCAAAATAGATCCAAAGTCCAGCTCAGGAGTGGAGGGCAGCTTGGATGGATTGGTGAAAGGATTCATAGCAAAATGGAGTTTTGACTTAAAGTATTGTGTGTCAATGGATCAAGTCAGTCAACTAACATGTGGGATAGCCCGGAGCTTGGATGGTGCCTTAAAACAGCTGTGAAAGTGCATTCTTTTTTCTTAACATCAACTGGAATTGTTTAGCCAGATGAAGTGTTTACATTAACCAAAACGCAATTCTGCCTGCATAGCTACTATTAATTGGATTAGATGCAATCTGGCCATCGAGCCTTGATTTACTATGCATGTAAGTCAGATGGCTTAGCAGCACAGACAGGCAGATGTTGTGGGAAAAATGGGTAGACTTTGACCAACAAATACTTGATCCCCTAAATGTGATTGTCTTGTTTGTAGACCATTCATTCACTAGACACATATTTCTAGGGTGCCTGCCATGTGTCAGACTCTAAAATGGGCCCCAAAAATGATGAATATAGAGTCCCTGCCCTGAAAGATCCCAAAACCATGTCAGGCTGTCAGATTTATAAACAGACAATCATAGTACAGAGAGGTGAGTGCAATGTTTGAGACATGTCCTGGCGTTCTGGAAGTACAATGAAATTCCTGATTCATCCTTGGAGGGCTGGAGAAGATCTCAGAACCAAATCTTGAGTATTAAAAGAGAGTTAAGAGTTACGAAAGCCAAACAGAGAGAGAAGGCATTCTAGGCAGAGAGGATACCATGAGCAAAATCCCAGTGGCATGTAATGTGTGTGCATGGAAAATGTTGCTGTGAGAACATGAATGCATAGAGTAGAGTAATAGGTATAGAAGTAGATAAGTTAGATGATCTTGGAGGGTTTTGTAGACTGGGTAAAGGATCCTAGAAATTATACTCTAGGAGTACTCAGATTTTCAAGCTGGTTTTGCATTAGAGCATGTTGGTGATATATGAGAAATGCATTTGAGGAAGAATGAAACAGTGGATGTTATACTGGTACCACTGAGAGATGATAAGAGAGGAAATATAAGTAGGAATGCATAGAAAGATTCTGATTCAAAAGAGATTTAGGCAAGGAAATCTGGAGGGATTTAGTGATTTATTATGTAATAGGATTGAGAATAAGACAGAGGTATGCATGACTCTGTTTCTAGATTTAGTGACCAATCACTTGTGTAATTGCTTGTTCTATGTCAGTTCATTCTACTACATCATAAACTTCATGACAGCAAGAACTAGATCTGTTCATCTCTTGACATATTTACAGCATTTCACATAGTAGTTCCTAGCACATATGGATGCTCAATAAATGTTTGTTGAATCAGCGTATAATAGAAAATGCAGGATGATTAAGTGGTTTAAAAAGGGGAAGGTGATGAACGCTACATTAGATATGTTGGTTGGGAAATTTCTATGAAACACGCAGATGGAGGTAAGTAGCAGGTGTATGTGTGTGGTCAGGGAGGACCGGGTCAGAAATCACTGAAATTCTCTGTCTGATGATTAGTTGCCTTTTACATCAGTAGATCTCTTCTTCACTGGTGATCAGTTGAAAGCATTTCGTGGTTGGTCAATTGATTTTTTTTTTCACTCGATTCATTTCTGAACAGAAACATTTCTTTAGTGCTTAGGCTAAATGAGATTTTCAACTATACTGAATTAGATTCCTGCTCTATTAAAAAAAAGAAAAACACTATACAATCTGGGGAATAAGTCTGAGTTCCAGAGGTTTGGTCATGAATTTTAATTTACCTCAGTAATGCTCTATGTTAATCCTGAAAGGAAAAAAATAAACATATCCTCCCTAGAAAGGTAGGGAATAAAATGTTGAAAAGCAAAATAACTGAACTGGAAACTGATGATTTCACAGCAAATGTTAATTTGAGGTATATCCAGGAAAATTTGGAAGTAGCGGTATTTGAAGCCACAGCAACCTGATAAATAATACCTGATCAGAGTGCCAAATCCCAGCATTAGGACAGCAAGGCTACAGAATCAGATAAGACCTAAGTCTGAGGTCATCATCAAAGAAGTTTCACCTGCAGGGCTAGCCCCACCCTACAGGGAAGGGCTGTAGTTGATTAGTGATGTCTTCCATGGGCATAGGATAGGGGTCATGCAATCGCCTGCACTAAAATAGACAAAAGCCAAGTGAATATAGATTGGGGAAAATGTATCAGTGAAGCTCAGGAAGGGCCTTAAAAGGCATTTGATGGTGGGATTCACACCACAATATGCATGCCAGGTAGACATCCCCTGGAGCCCTCTAAAAATGAAGGCACAACTCATAAAATGCTGGTTTTATCTTTGAAAAGCTTGACCATTAGAAAGTTCTTCTGTAATCTGAGGGAAAGCAGGCTTATTTTAACCTCTGTCTGTTGCCTCAAGTTCTGCTTTTGATGTTACAGAGTAAGCTTAATCTTTAAGATAAGCTAATAGCCCAAAGAAGAAGTCCAGAGGTAACTGAATTTTCCAAATTTTCTCTTTAAAAAATAGCATATTTTTGATTAAATATTTTCTGTGTTGACTAAGTAATCAGAAGCTGTAGAGTCTTATCTCCTGCTTCCTAGTTGGTCATATTCTTTTTAATTATAGGCTATTACATTTAAGGGATTTTAACCAAGCCACATTTATGGAGACCTACTATGTGCTCAGTATTGGACTTGGCTTTTAAAGAAATGTCTCATTGTCCCTGCCTTCATGAAGCTTTTCATATACTATGCAATGGCACTACCTGCTCTTCTTTTGTCTGGTGCTTTTCTAACCAATAGCCTTTACAGATAGAAGGTTCCCAAATTAGAAGACCTAAGGGAGTTGTCTTCAGAAAAGACCCTAAAAAATTGTCTTATTCCCACTGAAAGTCAGTGAGTTGATCCAGGTGTATCTCTGGGTTCTCTTCTCCTATTCATTTTCCTTTGATCCCAAAGAGGAATTCATTATGCTCTTGATGTCACAATGACTGGCACTCTTGATGAGGTCAAAACCATAGGCACTTCCTTATTAAAAGGGAGGCACATTTTTATATCACGTATTTTGACTTTCTCTGGATCATGCCTGATTGGCCCAGGGGAATACATCATGAAAAACAGACAGGAAAAGAACTGAGTCATAGTAGTGGCAGAGAGCCTCAATGTAAGAGTGAATTGATGCCTGCTTTTAAAGGGAGAACTACTGAAGTGGCCCTTTCAGCTACTAGAGGTGTCATCTGACTACTGGAATTATTATTCTGTCTTAAAGATACCTCCATCTTTATGATGCTCAGACATATGATTGATACTCCTACTACCTATGTTCCATTTGTATACTTACAGGATGCATCTACATTCATACCAACTTTTGAGACAAATGAGTCTATTTCTTATTTGGCCACAAAAATGTATCTAAGGCACATTTACCCCCAGATTATCTTAGGCATATTTAGTCCAAGCATGATGGGGAGTAACTCATGCAGCATCTTGAGAAATTCCAGTAAGAGAAGATTCCCACACACAGCACTATGCCCTAAGGAATGACTTGACAGATGACTGTGGCCAAAGAAGAACAATAAAACCTGTGATCCATCTCACATAGAGAACATCTGAAGGCTCTTGACATGATAAGTTTCGGGAAATAAAAGGCTTAGGAGCCAATGCAGCTAACTTCAAATACGTAAATATAACACAACATTGTAAATCAAATGTACTTCAATTTTTTAAAAATTAGATATAAAAACGGAGCCTCAGATTTGTTCTATATGTGTAAAAAGAGAAGAAATAAGGTTATTGCATGGAAGCACATGAAGATGGATTTTGTTTAAATGTAAGTATTGTGACATTTCAACCTATTTCAACATTATGACCTACCTACCCCAATCTGCTCCCCAGACGCAGGCCCTCCCAAAAAAGAATGGACGCTCTGCTTGAGTTAGTCAGTTCTCTGTCACTACAAGAGTTTTAAAGAGGTTGAGTGTCCCTTTCTTTTTCATCCTGGAGAGGTTGTTTCTGCATGTTTGAGAATTTGAAGGAGATAAGTGACAAAGTTGTTTCAAGTCCATGTCTCCATATCAAATGGTTTCTAGTTTTTAAAACAAAGAATTGACCTCAGGAACAGATTTTCAATTTTAAAGTTATTGGGTAAAATAAAAGCAGTAATTCTACCAGAAAAGTTGGACACCAACAATAATCCATAGACAAGAAAACCAAGTACCATCTAAAGAAAATGTCCCACTGGGGTAAGGTCATTTGTCTCTATGATTTACACAGCTGTTTTTTAATTCTTAACAGATATTGAAAGATTAAAAGAATCTACATTAGGGTCAAGAAAGTGTCAGAAAAAGCTTCTTTTAGATTGTCACTATGTTGGAGATGGAAAAGAATATTGAGTTTAATCTATACACTTTGGGGTGCTTTGTAATTCAAAATAATATTAAAAAACAGTATGTTTGATAGAGCACTTTAGACCTTCCTAGATTAAAAATAATCTATCAATTGTACCTTTATGAAACAAGCATTAGATTAGAAAGGACAACTTCAGTTGTAGAAGTTGTGGTTGATTTTAATGTAATCACTCAGCAGCTGAATAAAAAGTTAACTATGTCTGTTAAGGAAATGGTTATTGAAAATATAGAAAAATAACAAAGAAGAAATAATTTGGGAATTTGTATTTGAGTAGAAAGTAGCAATGAATACAAAAAAGAGACAAGGAGTATCCAAGTCATAAAGATTCTTATAGGCTACTTAAAAATGTTTGGAACTTACCCTGTGGTTCTCAACCCCTCCATCTCCCAGTGAATAAAATAAGTCTATATTTGGTTAGCAAGATAGCTGTTTAGCTCTGCCTCTTTCTATGGCATGTGGCTGCCACTGAAGGGTCTAGGCAGTAGAGAAAACACCAATATTTGTGCACCATAAGTAAATTCTCAAGGTTCACCAGGCTTCATTGCCCTTCTTCTTCATTCTCCCCTTCCTTCTTCCTCAGTCAATCCACTTTGAGACATAGGATAACGTAAATGTTGCAGTGGTGGTCTTTAGGAATATGCATACACATTGTGGCTTTCTCTCTTTATTGCTCCATGTGTAGTTGGAGCCAGTCACGTGACTTTCTGTGACCAACAAATTTGAATAGAAGTTATGTGCGCGTTGCTTTGGGGCCAGCATTTTATTTGCTAATAATGCTAAACCTTCTAGAACACTTTTCTTTCTGCCACAGCAACATCAAGTTTCCCATTCAGCCTAAGTAGTGAATAAGTACAGTTGGGGACACAGAGGGAGCTCTCTAGTTGACCCACATTGCACAGGCAGTATTGAATGATGAGGGCAGCGGGGAATCCACAAAACTTTCTTCTTGTACTCAACTGAGGGTTTGGTGTTTTCTTTGTACGGAAGCATAACACAAAAATCCTGGCTGATACCATTGTAGATATTGAACTTGGTTTCCTTAGGGAGTGTTGCCAAATGTGAAAATATTTAGGAAAGGTAGTTGAGGGAAGAGTCTCCCTCTGACACTCACCCAGAAAATTGAGGATTATGGACTCAGAAGGAAGATTGGGTAGAAGGCCTGTGACCTGTAGCTGCATTAGCCTCAGATGAAAATAGGGTGGAGAGAAAAGCAACTGAACCTCAAAGAAATATAAACATTAAAAAAAAAAACCTTCAGCAAGTTGTGGCACTAGCCTTATTCTACTTGACTAGAAAAAAAATATTTGGGTGATTGACGTGGGAAATTTGCTGTCATTATAGCTGTTGACATCCTACCTCAGTTTCTCTTAGCTTTAGTATCCAGAAACAATCCCATCCCCTTAGTTGCTGGTAGAAAATTATTATAATAAAAATCCAGACTGTTCCATGTAAGTGCAGGAGTGGAGAAGCAAGATTCTGGTGTCCAATTCCCACCGTCAAAGTTAGAGAGCTAACTTTGAGAGGGCAAAAATATTGTATTAAAATTAGTTAGGAGTACTTTACGTATAAAGCAACTGATTTTCAACCAAGAGGAAGAAAGTCTGGATTTACGGTTAAAGTTATTTCTGAGTCCTGTGTTGAGTAGATAGAGCTCCCATGGATATCAAGAGGACTTAACAAGTCACTTGGACAGAGCACTGACCTTCAAGCATGGGCATATTAATTTCAATAATCACCCAACACCTTAAAAAATGAATTAGAAAGGCAAGGCAGAAACAGTTTAGCCTAGTGGAAGGAGCACTAAAGAAGGACTCAGAAAGGCTGTGTTTGTCCTAGATCTGCCACAGATTAGCAATGTGACCTTGGACACGTCACGAGCCTTCATCAATACTCAGTTTCCCCAGTTGTGAAATGAGTGGGTTAGTACCAGATGATCTCTGAAATCCTCATAGCTTCTGTGTGCTGTGACTCTCTAACCCTTTGATTTGGTGTTTATTCCCTAGTCTGACATCAGCTAGCTCAAAAAAGTCATTTAGTATTTCTGGACTTCATTTGCGTTGTGAGAATAATAGCTTATCTGCCCTGAGGAAAGGGCTGGAACCCATTATCTCTCAAAGTCCCTTCCAGCCCTAACATATTTTTCTATGAAATAAATATTTCAGGAGCACGTTATTATGTCTATTAATGTTTCTACCAGTGGTGTTGATAGGAGCCATATGAACTGTGGCAGAGTGAAAGGGCTGGGAAGTAGGAGGGAGAAGAGGCAAGAAAGAAGAGTAAAGGAAGGATAAGTAAAGATGAGATGATGGAGAGATGAAACTAGTGAGTATAAGAGAGGAGAAAACCCAGCACTGACTTTTGCTTTGTCTGTCATTTAAGATGCTTTCCGTTACAAAGCAAAACAAAACAAGAGTAAAAAATAAAGACGACCAAAATTAAACTGGTTACAAATGGAGACTGTGCTGCCTTGTGAATCTTACAAGCTGAGGAATATGGCAGTTTCAGACATAGTTTGAACCAGAGGCTTATGACTCCAATCTTTTCTCCCAAATGCCCTTGGCTTTGCCTTCCTCAAAGGGTAGGTATTCATTCCTACACTGGGTTCCCTCATGGAGGTAAAAATGGCTGTAGCAGTTTCAGACTTCGTGTTATATCCATTATGCCAGCAACAAAAAGACGGCTTTTATTTCTGTATTTCAAAGGAAAGGTGATCTGTTTTACTCACAACTGAATTCTCCATGCCTAGAAGGTTGACATGCACAAAGGAAGCCCTGAATGAATATGAATTAAATGAATGAATAGTGCTTAGCTCTTAAGGCTTTTATAAGACTTAAAGTAGATAATGCATATGAAGCAGTGTCTGGCGTATAATAAGCTCCCAAGAAATGGTAGCCGGTTGCAGCAGCAGTGGTTATATAACAGGAATAATATTAGTGGAACAAGGGGCAGTATTGGAAGGATTTATTATATTCTAAAAGAAGGTTAAAAATATAGAAAAGATATAAAGTTCCAAAAATACAAGGAAAATTTTTATTATAGACATGAAGATGTAATCAGTCTTTTCTTTGAAAGTCTATATTTTCATGAGTTTAACAGTAATTCATATGTGTTGGAAAGATATAGCAGTTTCTAGAAATGACTAGCATTAAGGAAAAGCAGTTTGGGCTCAGACACAGAGTACTAGGTGAGTTAGCTTGGAGTTAATACAGCAGAAAAAAGTTAACAGCTGACATTTACTGAGTATTAACAATATGTCAGGACAAATGTGACAATATATGTATACGTTCATGTATAACTGAAAAATAGTGCTCTATACTGGAATTTGACACAACATTGTAAAATGACTATAACTCAATAAAAAAAAGTTTTAAAAACTGTAAAAAAAAAAAAAACAATATGTCAGGCACTTAAGACCTTAATATATAAGACCTTAAATATAATCATTTAATCCACAAACAAGCTTAGGAGGTAGTAATACTACTTTTCCCATTATCTAGATGAGGAAACTGAGATGCAGGACGATTATGTAACTTGGCCCCAGCTTATACAGCAAGAATCAGGCAAAGCCCAGGCCCAAACTCAGGCTATTTCCAGACCTTACTCTTAATCACTAACATCAACTTTCTTTCTGTTATATGGGCCTTTCATGAGGACCTATGACATTCTAAAGGACTTAATTTTTTTCTCTGAAAACAGTAGGTGGCCCTCGGAAGTTCTAGAAAAGAGAAAAAGCATCACATTTTTATTGAAGTAAATAAGTCTTTAATATTCATTAGCATTATCTTTGTAAAGAAAAAAATAGTTCAGTTTCCTTACAGAAGGCATATAGATAAGAACATGAACTCAGTAATTGAATTCAGCGATTAACAGCTGACAATAGCACAAAAGTTACACTATTTCACAAAACACAGCAAACATAGTTAAGTCCCAGTTGAGAGTATATATAGCCCTACATTATCACGAGTTTCTCAGCAAATATATATTTGGAGGCTGTCATGTCTTTTAAGTTTAAGCTTAAGCTGTTTTAGAAATTCTGTAGTACAGTACAGGGTCTGTAGCTTTCAGGGGTGCAAAATTTTGGGTTCTTTACTCCTTGGTCTACAGAGTGCCTTCTCCCCATCCTCTCTCTGTGGCATCTATTGGTACAGTTTGGAGGGGAGATGATGAACTAGATTAATTAGGTTTACTTACCCTCAATTCCATAGCTCATGGTGGTGTGGAAAGAACATGGACTAGGAAGTTGGCTAGACCTCAGTTTAAATCTCAGCTCTACCACTTTTTCACTGAGTGAGTACCTGGGTCAATGCAATATTTTCTGGGAGGCAATCTTACCATTTCCCCCTTTCATCCCTCCAGTCCTTATGTCAAAATAGTATTCATCAAGTGGGAACTCAGCAAACCATATGACCTTGAATTGAAAGAAAAATAGAATTTTTTTTTTTTAACCCTGGACAACGCCAGCCATGAACAGAAAGGCTATCACTTCCACCCACAACACAGGAGGGTGTATTGGCTTTTGAAGGAAGGTGTGGCTTCTTTGGAGCAGTGGTCTCACCTGGTGCATTTGGTCTAAGGCCCTGCATGGAGGTAGTGATGTGTATCAACACTGGCATTTTCCTCTAATGCAGCATGTTGCTGCCTGCCAAGTGGCACAGGCCAAGGGCACGTTACAGACGGACAAAATGATTTTGGAAAAAGCAGGCAGCTCTCCCTCAACTCAAGCTTATTTCAAAATCTTCAAGCCGAAGTATAACAGCAAAAATTCTGAACAAGTCTAGTTGGATTAGAATGATTTAGGTTTCTCTGATGATCTGGCCTGGTCTATAGGAATGAGTTTGGAAAACAATATCAGAAGATACCAGTGAGCTAACTTTCTCATTGCAGTAACAGTTGTCCCCAAGCTCAGCACCATTATTTCAAGTACCTAACACAATGTCTTGCATGTGATACATACTCAATAAATACTTACCAATGATTGAATGAATGAATGAATATTCTTGGTTGTCTGGTTTACGTAAGTCAGAAACTTTGGGATAAAAAAGAGTTTGATGTGAAAAAAGTTACGTGGCTTTGTACATTTGATTTAACTCTTACCTCATTCCCTCATTCCATATTCCATAGCAAATGGATCACTAATCCCTAACATTCTTTTTTCTGAAATATTCACATCTCCCCCTGAATTTTGGGCCTCGCCATCTCTTGCCTGACTTGTTCTGCTTTACTCACATCTCTTTCTCTGTACCTGCCTGCACGGCACCACCAGATGATCTGATCATGTCTTTTCCTCCACTTCAAACCTTTCAGTGATTCCCAAAAGGCAAGTTAGACTCTCTTGGTGCATTTAAATGCAAAAGAGCCCATCTTTCAGAAAATGATGCTTTTTCTAAGAGGCCTTGGTGGGCCAGGGCCACCCCACCTAATCAGCTGACTCTGCTCACTGGTATAGGAAAAGGAGCACCCACCCCCCCCAGACACTCCCCTTTTCTCACCATTATGCCAGCTATGGCCAAGGACTCTCTCTCAACATAGGTTATAGTTCTGTCACCTAAAAGGAAAAGCCAAATGCCATTTCCAGTTTCCCTTGGAAGCTTTGCATGAGGAACACAGCAGAGTGACTGATTTCAACTTTACATTTTGCTCCCAGCAAGACGGTATGCTCTGAGTTTTAAGCGCTGAGGGCCCAGCGAGCCCCCAAATGCATTTTCCCAGGCACATTTCCTCCTCAATTTTTCTAACCTCTTACCATCATGGGGGAAATTTAATCCATATGTTTCTGGGTCATTTACACTTAACTCATCAAAATGTTGTGCTGTAAGAGCGACTTGATGTCAAGGAAGCCTTGTGGGCCTCATTTATACACGTCTTCTCTTTGAACCAGGAAGTTAAGGTTTGCCAGAAAAAGCAGAAATCAACATTTTAAAGGCTCCCTCTTTTCCTAAAGTGAAACTTTAGAACGTCTTACAGTGTGAGAACTTCTAAACCCAGAACGCCGGGGTTTTATTGCCTAGACATCAGTGGGCCCTCTAATCCTTTTTCCTTTCTCTCCTTACCCCCTGCCAGACAGTGTGCCGCCATTCTTAAAGAATATTTGAGAAAGGAAGAGTTACTTGGGGAAGTGGGAGTGGGGCAGGGGCCAAACAATAGTGACGTGGAATTTCAGAATCCTGAAATTCAAAGGAAGTAATTGACTATGGAAGGCTTCATCTGTCACCCGAGAAAAACATCCCCTACTGACTTGCTGAGCTAATGGAGATGAGTGAAACACCACGTGGCTTCCCCTGCAGATGTCAATTAAGTCTGCTGTAATTGAGGTATCTCTGGTCACCCTAGACCAGTGCTGTCCACTAGAACATTCAGCTGAGATTGGAATGTCCCACATATGTGCTGTCCAGCACACTAGCCATATGCAGCTACAAAGTACTTAAAGCATGACTCTAGTGATTGAGAAACTGAATTTTTGATTTTTTTAAAAAAACAAATCCAACTGATAAAATTTGAATATCTAGTTGGCTTTATTAAGCAATTCATGAATTGGGCTGCCTCCCCTCTAGCAACCAAAAGAGTGCTCCAAATTAGAAGATTTTTATCAGAAGAAGGGGGCTATTAGAAAACAAAGAATTACCTTTTCTTTTTTTTAATTGAAGTATAGTTAGTTACAGTATGTCAGTTTCTGGTATACAGCATAATATCCCAGTCATGCATTTACAAGATATTGAATAGAGTTCCCTGTGTTATAAAAAAGAAATTTGTTTTTTATGTGTTTTTATATGTAGTGATAAACTTTTGCAAATCTCAAACTCCCAAATTTATCCCTTCCCACCCACTTTCTCCCAGTAACCATGAGATTGTTTACTGTGTCTGCGAGTCTGTTTCTGTTTTGTAGGTAAGTTCATTACTGTCTTCTTTTCTCTTAATTTTTTTCTTTTTAAAAATCCACATATAAGTGATATATGGTGTTTTTCTTTATCTTTCTGGCTTACTTCACTTAGAATGATGATCTCCAGGTTCATCCATGTTGCTGAAAATGGCATTATTTTATTCTTTTTTATCACTGAGTAGTATTCCATTGTGTGTGTGTGTGTGTGTGTGTGTGTGTGTGTATCACAACTTCTTTATCAAGTCATCTGTCGATAGACATTTAGGTTCTTTCCATGTCTTGGCTATTGTAAACAGTGCTGCTATGAACATTGGGGTGCATGTGTCTTTTTGAATTATAATTATTTTTAGTACAGGAAATCTTTTTTGAGAGGGGAAGGGAAGGGCAAGGGTTTTATTATGCAGATGCCTCTTCTTGGGTGGGTAGAGAGGACTCACAAGGCTGATAACCTCATTACTGCTGACCAGAAAATTCCAGGCTGATTAAGATTACATTTCTGCTAAAGGTCAAAATTGCAACTAGATGAGGCATTATGTCTGGGTTTGGTATCATGAGCTTTAGCACAGGTGACACCATTTTGAGCCTGTGTTTTTTCTCTTTAACAGTTTTGATTAAATTAAATTTTAAATAGTCACATTTGGACAGTGCAGCTGTAGACTCTACAGTGATGAAACAACCATAGCATCTCTTGTGTTTTAGCTAGTTCTTAAAATATGTAGAGCCTTTATAATGCAGCATGAATACATTTTTAGTATTAAAAAGTTAGCCAATGGGACTTTCTGAATAAGGGTGGAAAAACCTAACTGAATCAAGAATTTATTTATCAAAATCCAATAACAGAAACCAGTCCAAAGTTTCAGCTGGCTTTGTTTAGTAATAGGAATATTAAGAGGGTATTCTGTCTATTGTATGGAAAACAATTAGACTCAGGTAGCTTTATGATTACAAGTAACTGGAATGAAAAGCAAACAGGCTTCTTGGGAGTCGGTGCCCATGGGATGGCCCATGTTGTAGTTCTTTGTTCCTTTAAGCATTTTCAAATATTGATGAGACAGATAGATGATGCTTTGAGATGCAGTAGTCCATGTTCCCACACATGCATGAAGATTTCTCGGAAGGCTCATGACCATATCTAATAGTTTTAATATCGTGTCTTAAAGGTGGCCTAAGGTCTACACTCTGAAGCTCAAATTGTCAGAATAACCAAAAGCTAAAAAGGGAAAGATTAATGAGTCAACATACTGTTGGTCTCTTTCACGGAAAGAAACTTTTCTCAGGGGCCTACAAGCAGAAGAGTATTAAGCATACTGCTATGGCTAGTGTGACAACCAAAAAATGTCTTTATTTTCAACACCAAAGATTTTTTTTTTTTTACGCCAGTCACTAAGAGTTAAGAACTGTTGGAGCAATCCAATCCCCGACAAGGAACCTCTCATACTCCATTTAAAAAATTAGCCTGCTTTTCTCTCTACGTGTTATAATTCCAGCCAAGTTGTAGGAAACATGCTGACTGTTCTCAGCTAGTGAATATTTGGAAAAATCTCAAAGTCATTCATTAGGAGAAGTAAAAGGTATTTGAAATGCTTGGAAATGTTGAAGAAAAATTACAATTATGCTTGAGTCACAGGCTCACTGTATCTCAATTAATTTACTAACTAATTAACCATTTCTTGGGCTCCTCTTTAGGCAAGGCACAGTGCATAATAAAAAAACTTTAATTGAAGAGCTCCAAACTTCATTCATTCATCTGTTAATTCAGCAGCAGTTTGAGATACTGAGCTTTGTATTCCACTACGCTAAGCCAAAGACAAGAGTGCCTGTGTATGCAAGGTGCTCAGTCATTAGTCTTAGTCGATGAAAAATCTGGACTATTCAGTCTCAGTGTTCCTACCTGATTATGTCAAAGAAGCTCAACTAGGCAACCTTCGATTTTCACGCATGCCGTGGGAATGCCTTCTGTCAGTCACCACAGTTCAGCCATTCTTTTCCAGTTGGCAGTGGCCACGGAGCATGGACGATGCAGTGCTGAGTTGTGCTGCCTCCCCTTCCCTGGGCATTGCTATTAGGGAGGCTACAAATGAAAAATGTTTTGGAGAGGTCATAAATGGTGCTGCACCCACAGTTTGCTGGACATCTTCTAAATGGTTTTTCTCTGTAACACTGTTTGGCAAACAGAAGTTCTTTAAAATTATACTTGAAAATAGCTGTGATGACTTCCTTTAGATTCCCTCCTTGTTGCTAGGAGTTTTCTGTTCCTCTTTGGTCTGCCTCCATAGCTACTAGATTTTGGACATTCTCAGGGCAGCTCTGCTATTGGGAGAGGAGTTTGCATTTAGAAGTACTAACTATGGGCCAGAGACTGTTTTAAATGTTTTACCATTTTTTTTTAAATCCATTGACATAAAATTCCTATGAATTTTATTATATTTGTTATTCTCATTTTACAAAAGAAAAAAAAAAGAGGGAATGAGACTAGGAGAGGATAACCGACCCAAACGAACACAGCATGTAATTAAAGGAGCTAAAGCATAGCTTTGCTGCATGACCTCCTGTGTCCTGAGCTCATGCTTTCAGTCTCTCCCCTGTCCTATTACATCTTAGGCTCAGTACATAGTCTTCTTAGTGGGAAGTTATTAAGGTGACTTACTTTTTCCGATAACATGTTCAGAGAAGCCATTTCTAGAAAATTTGTATTTCTGGGGAAAAAAATACTAAAATCATGCTAAAGGATCATAAATATTTTGCTAAAGTCACAATATTTATATCTTTGGAGAACTGTAGATGAGATGACCTTTACAGAACTCTCACCTTGTTACCACGCAGAAGCAGACATACACTGTGGATTAACATATTAGTATTAATAATCACTTGTGAAGGTGGGCATTGATAAAGTCACTAGCTAAAATGCTAATTAAAAACTATAAAAATAGCAATTATTGAGTTATATTAGAAGCAGGAAGACAAGAGTTGAACTTGGTGTAAATTGTCTAAATCCTGTCATAGCAGGACACCAATGGATAATGTCTGAAATCGATAAGACAAATGCCCACATAGCATAGCATATTATTTAGATAGGGAGATAGCATTCAGAAGAAATAACTAAAAGTGGTTGTTAATAATTAAAAGTTATAGATTAGGGGTGGTGATGTGTGGGTCAGTAGACTCTTTTGATGTCCAAAAGGAAAAAACAAAAAATAGCTACTGTTGACCAGACGCTTACTCTCTGCTGCATAGGGTACTTTGTCACCTCTATCCCTGGGAGCGCAGAGAGAAATTCAAGGCCAGTCATTTGCAATTCCAGCAGGAACCAAATCCAGTTCCAGTCTAGCTTTAGACTACTTTCTCTCAGCATTCTGCTGTACCACCTTGAGGTCACACATGGGAACACCTTATAGGAGGTCAAGAACTGCAGGAACATGAGAGACAGGGGCTGTGATCTGCACACCTATACCTCGTTTTCCCAGTTACGGCCAGCTGCATCCTTTAGACCGCAATGTAGATGTGCCTTCTTCCTCTGAGGTTTCTCAACAGAATTCATCACCTAACTGGAGCCCAAAATCACTGCTCCTAGATGGACAAAGAATGAAACATACATAGCTGTAGAGTGAATTCCTGACTCAGCATAGAATAAATACCTGTTTGACAGATCCTTAACTTCTTTACAGCAGTGGAATGTGACACTGGAGAGGAAAAGAAGCTTAAGGAGAGCAGGAGAAAGATCAGCCTGATTGAGTGTCATTATTTGTATTCCCTGTAAAGATCGTAAGGGCTGAGCCACACATCAGAAGGTCCAAGGGTCCCCATTGTCTGTGGCTTGAAGTTTAATACTATTGCCAAGAACCAACTGGCATCAGTAACTGTTACCTACGAAACTGATGGAAAGTGTGTACTAAGGGGCATTCATCCATTCAGCAGGACCATAATTTTATGAAAGGTAGTTAGCATTGGCAGGTGAGCCATAATATATCTGACCTTCAATCATAAATCAAAAGCAGGTAGAAAAAACACTGGACAATATATCTCCTGCCACCAGGTTGCCCATAAAATACAGCATACTTCGCTGGGCAATCACAGATGGATAAAACAGCATGCTGTTTATATCATCCCTGAATCTCTGGGTTGGACTGAAATGAAAAGCTTTGGTAATCGTCCCACCCAACAAAGCTTTGCTCCTTGGGCGTACTGACATGTCAGCATCTGTTTTAATGCCACAGCTGCAGAACAATGTCTGAAACCACTGACTGCCCAAAAAAATAGAAGGCAGAACAGAAACAGCTTCTCCAAAGCCCCAGATGAGATGGTCCAAGTTTAATGATCCAAAGAGAGACACTGATTTGTTTCTTACCATATCAAAGGCAAAGAGATCATTTACAACTTGTAGTTCTGTGCCCTCATTCATCAAAGCTACATGTCTCTGTACCAGAGTTCATAATTTCAAAAGATGGGCTTCATTTCCCCATCAAAACTTTGTTGAGCATGCACTGCATGCAGGTGCCAATGATACATGGACATGTAAGACAATCAGATACAGCAGTTTAGGGCCTTACAGGCAGAAGACGACTGTATTGGAGAGGTAGCCACTTGATTTTCAAGTCTGTACTGCACATTTTGGGGCCTAAGAAGAGTATTCAGTTCTTTCTAGGAGTGAGGCAGGAAAAATCTCTACAGAAGTAGGGCTTATCTGAGTACTGTAAAATGTGTATGGGATTACATAGTAGAAAAGCCAGATATGAAAGTCTTTCCAGCAGAGGAAGCTACAAAAACGAGGGCAGACACATAGCATGTTAGGAAAGCTGTCAGCTGTTGGTATAGCTACAGAAATAGCCTGTGACGTGGGGTGGGAGTGTGAGATAACGCTGAGCAGAGGCTGGGGCTGGATCATGGAGAGGTTAGGCTAGTGAATGTAAACCCTGTGATTCCCAGGGGAGCCACATGAAATTATAGATACCTGGACTCATGCTGGGAGATTATGATTTACTAAGGCTGGGAAAGGGGGAGGGCAGAGAACCTGTATTTTTCAACAGCCCTCCACACCAAGAACAACTAATTCTAACGCAGCCAGTCTTTGAAGAGTTTAACCGAGGGAGAAATATAATCTGATTTATACTTTAGAAAGATCATTCCGGGAATAGGCTGGAATACAGATTTGAAGGGGTAAGGACTGAAGCCAAGGAGACTCTCTTAAGTTGTCATTGTATTGCCACACATTTGGGAGGTAAAACTAATGCTGAGAGAGGTTAAGAGACTTCCCAAAATCAGTGTAGCTGGTAACAGCGGCAGAATTTGAAACCAGATAGTTCTCATTCGAAAATCTGAACTTTTCCATTATGCTCCTTTATTCACCCTGCTGCTGCAGGAATGCTGCTGAAGATGGCTAGGTCTTAGCCTAAGGTTGGAAGCAAAGGAAATCAACTCTGGCCACTTAAACTCCAAAGATAACAAGCACAGGTGATCACAGAACACAGACCCACACTGGTTGGAACTAAGCATTTTTGCTGATTGGAATTCAGTTCCCCAGCCTGCCTGTAATTCAAGTACAGCATAATTAAAACTCATGTAATTGGCATCATATACCGGCAGACAATTAGAAAAGTGGTACATACATGAGGCACATTTTCCTCTAATGGCTGCACTGTGATATGAAAGATGAATTGAGTAAATAATGGCACAGCCAGAAATTACAATTTAGCCTTTCACTGAACTAGGCTCTCTGTTTGCATGATCTCATATAATTATCACAAGAACTTTATGAACTATGTAGTATTAACCTTATTTTATTTTTTGACCTTTATTTTTAGTTTCTTCTCGTCTTATTGAGGTATAATTGACAAAGAAATTTGTGTATATTTAAGGCATACAATGTGACGATTTGATATACATTGTGAAATAATTACCTCATTCATGCTAAGTAACTCTGCTAATACCTTAAACACATAATACTTACTCTTTTAACAATTTCAGGGATACAATACAGTATTATTAACTATGCTGGACATTAGACCCCCAGAAATTACTCATTTTGGTATCCTTTGACCAACATCTCCCCATTCCCCACACCTCCAGCCCCTGGTAACTATCTTTCTACTCTCTACTTCTGTTACGTTGGACTTTTTTTTTTAAGAGTCCACATAGGATATCATGCAGTATTTGTCTTTCTGTGGCTGACTTACTTCACTCAGCATAATGCCCATCAGATTCATCCATGTTGTCACAGATGACAAGATTTCTATTTTATGACTAAAAAATACTCCCGTGTGTGCACATATATTGCATATATAATTGTCTCCATTCATCTGCTGACCGACACTTAAGTTGTTTTTATGTCTTGTCAGTTGTGAGTGGTACTTCAGTGAATATGGGAGTGCAGGTATCTCTTCGAGATGCTGATTTCATTTCCTCTGGTTATATACTCAGAAGTGGGATTGCTGGACCATACGGCTACTTTTTAATTTGAGAAAGCAAAGCCTAGAGAGGTTTAGTAACTTGCTTAAGACCACATAGCAGTGGTTGGAAGCAAACCTTTGTCTGACTCTAAAGCCTCTTCTCTTTCCACTTTCTCACAATCATTCCATTTTACAGTGTGTTTTCAGACGAAAGGTCAGAGTTTATTAAGCACATCACCAGCTCAAGTGTTTTTACAGAAAACCTGGGCATGTTCAATTTACACCAGGGCTTAAAAAATTCCTGGAAACATGAGATCATTTTTATCTAATTCTAATTTAGCTTACTAATAGATTATTACTCGAGATGATTTTTGAAAATGCTGGGCCTTTGTTTCTATGTGAGATGCACTGAGTTTTTGCTCTTCTTTAGGACTAACCAATAATAATAAGCAACCTAAAGCAGGCACTAGCAAAACAAAACCAAGTGAGTACATTTCATTCAGGAAGCTGAGTAGAGGTAAAATAGCGCAGGTGAAATAGCAGAGTCTTCAGAAACTTCACATAGGAAACTAAGCTGCCTCTCATTGTGAATACTCTGACAGAAGAAAAACGTATAAGACTATGTTCACATGTATGTGTGTGTGTCCATGTTTGTGCATGCATGTGTCGGTAGGCATGTGCTATCATGCACAGACATGGATACAGTACATATACTGGAGTCAGGCTTGGGCAGAGGGCCCCCACGGACGTGGAGGAAGGAGAGGACCCAAGCCACCAAGTGGTGCTTGTAGCTCTTGAGGTCTTAGGAGAGCTGAGTTTGTGGGTTACGTGGGATTTCTTGGGGGCAATAATCAAGCATGGTCCCTTTTATTGGGAATTTACCAGAGTATTCCTTATTGTATGTAAATGACTTAAAATCTTCTTTAAAACACTATGAAATAGGCATTCAATTTCATGTTTTACAGATGAGGGAAGTAAATCTCAGAAAGGTTGAAGACAGGATTTGAATATAGATTTCAGTGTCTCCAAAGCCTCACATTGTAAATCCCCACTTCTGGGGGTGGTCTCTGCACCCTTTTTTTAAATTGAGGTACAGTTGATATACAATACTGTATTTCAAGTGTACAATGCAGTGATTCATAACTTTTATAAATTACACTCCATTTATAGTTTTTTGTAAAATATTGTCTCTCTTCCCTGTGATGTAGAATATGTCCTTGTAGCTTATTTACATTGTAGTTTGTACCTCTTAATCCCCTACTCCAATATTGCAACCTCTCCCTGCTCTCTCCCCACTGATAACCAGTACTTTGTTCTCTACATCTGTGAGTCTGTTTCAGTTTTATTACATTCACTCGTTTGATTTCTTGGATTCCACATGTAAGTGAGAACATACAGTTTTTTTCTTTCTCTGTCTTAACCTATTTCACTAAGCATATTTTTCAAGTCCATTCATGTTGCTATTAATGGCAAGATTTCATTCTTTTTAATGGCTGAGTTGTATTTCATTGTGTATATATACCATGTCTTCTTTATCCATTCATCTGTTGATGAACACTTAGGTTGTTTCCAAATCTTGGTTATTGTAAATTATGCTGCTGTGAACATTAGGGTGCATGTATCTTTTCAAATTCATGTTTTCGTTTCCTTTGGATAAATAGCCAGGAGTGGAATTGCTGGATCATGTGGTTGTTTTATTTTTAGAGTTTTGAGGAATGTCCATACTGTTTTCTATAGTGACTCCACCAATTTACATTCCTATCAACAGTGTACAAGGGTTCCCTTTTCTCCACATCTTTGCCAACATTTGTTACTTGTAGACTTTTTTTTAATGATAGCCATTCTGACAGGTATGAGGTGGTATCTTATTGTGGGTTTTGAGATGCATTTCTCTAATTAGTTCTGTTGAGCATCTTTTAATTTACCTGTTGGCCATCTATGTCTTCTTTGAAAAAATACCTATTCAGGTCTTCTGCCCATTTTTAATCAAGTTGTTTGTTTTCCTGATACTGAATTGGATAAGCTATTTATATACCTTGTATGTTAACGCCTTATCAGTCATATTATTTGCAAATATTTTCTCCCATTCCGTAGGCTGTCTTTTCATTTTGTCAGTGGTTTCTATTGTTGTGTGAAAACATTTCAGTCTAACTAGGTCCCATTTGTTTATTCTTAACACCTTTA